GTTGAGTGGTCTACATGTACATTTTGTTAACTATAGGGCTGAGAACCAGCCCCTAGGGGTGCATTTTATTCCAGGTGCAGAATGTATTCCAGGGCCATAGTATTGAGAGTCTCATCAGATTTCATCTGACCAGTAATTCTTGTCATTATTGAGTTTTTGGATTATGTTCCACGTTTCCCTCCCACTCTATCCAGGATCTCCAGATTTGATCCTTTCCTGAGTGGTTGGCATTGGTTGCTAGGCACCATCTAGTTCTTCTGGTCTCACGGGCCATCATGTCCTAGGGCTGATTTGTTCTAAATGCCCTTTTTTGTTTGTTTGTTTTTGCATTTTCTTCACTTTCAACACTATGAGACCATTAGCTGCATCTTAGATGGCTGCTTGAAAGCTTTTAAGATGCCAGTTGCTACTCACCAGTGTAGGATGTGGAGCAATGCTTTTATGTATTTTGTTGTGCCAGTTGAGTCTGGTGTCCCTCAGTACTATGGTCCTGAGGCAGTAGATCTATTTGGATCTCCCATAGTGTCTGGATGTCTGTGAGGGATTACTCTGTGTCTGTCTTCTATTGTTTCTGTAAGGGCTGCAGGTATTTTGACTTATTTTTGAACTTTTTTCCAGCTACATCTATTATTTCACCTTTGCAATAAGGTCTCTTAGCTCTTATTGAGGCTTTTCTTCATGATGCTAATTAAAATTTCATCCTCAGCCCCCATCCCATTCTCTCTGTCTTCTCAGTAGAACATAAACTTCATGAGGGTAAGGTTTTTGTCCTGTTTTGTTCACTGATATTTTGCCAGCACCTCAAATAGTATCTGGCACATAGTAATTGTTTAAATATTTCTAGAATAAACTGAATGATCTTCTGAGGATATTAATAATATACATTTTTAAATCATCTAGTATATATTTAATCTGTTTCTTTGAGGTTTCAGTCTGTCCCCACCTTAATTTAGAAATTTGTTTGCAGATATCTTAAACATGTGTTTGTGTTTAAGAATATAAGCTGATTGGGAGATCTGAAAAAATATTGCCAACTGAAGCCTTCATCCAACCTGGCTGGATGATCTTATTGGAGATTTCTTGATGTGTAATATCTTTAGATCTTTCTTCTTGATGTTCCAGTTCCCTGGAACAGGTTCTTCTAATCCTTGGGTGCAGCACTCTGGAACAGAGAGGAAGAGGGGGTTATAAATACCCATATGCCAATAAATTTGAAAATTTACATGAAATTAACAAATGTCTGCAAAAATATTGTTTATCAGAACTGACTTAAGAATTAGCAAGTCTCGAATAGTCCTGTAACAATTAATGAAAAGGACTCTTTCATCAAAAATTTTGTTTCAAAGACAATTCCAAGCCCAAATGGCTTTATTAGCAAGTTTGACCTTATATTCAAGAAAAATTATTTCTGATCTTATACAACCTATTCCAGAGTATAGGTAGAAGGAACACTCCCCAGATGAAATAGTGTAACAAAGAACCAAATGAGAAATTAAAATCACTGCGTTAGTTTTACTCATGAATGTAGTTGTAAAAATCCTGAACAAAACATTAGCCAATTGAATCTGGCAGATTTAAAAACCTGACCAAGTTGGGATTATCCTATGTCTGTAAGGGTGTTTCGATATTTCAAACCAAACTAGGCTCATTGCTGTGGAGTCGGAGCTAACTCATAATGACCCCTCCTTGGGTTTCCAAGGCGGTATCACTATGGAAGTAGATTGCCCCATCTTCTTTCCGAGGAGTGGCTGGTGGGTTTAGAAAATCCGTAATGTAATTTTCCACATTCAAGTTAAAAGGAGAAAAATCATACCATCATCTCAGTGGATGGGGATGTCTCTTTGGTTAAAATTCAACAACAAATTACTGTGAAAAAAAATCTCAAAATAAGAATAGATGTAAACTTCTTAATCTGTTAAAGGGTACCTAACCTATAGCAAACACCACACTTAAGGGTGAAGTATTGAAAGCTTTCCCTTTGAGATCAATAGAAGGCAAGTATGTCCATTCTTACCATTTTTCAACATTATGGAAGAAACAAAACTACAGTTAATATTTGTAGGTGATTTAATTTTTTGTAATTTGAAATTTATTTATTTATTTATTGCTTACTTTAGCAAGTGGTATTGGATCTTAATGGAAATGGTACCTAATGTATGCAAGTGAGGAGAAGGCAAAAGGCCTATAATCCCAATCCCAATATCTAGCAATAAACACTGTCCATATTTTTATTATAAATGGTTGTAACATTGTATATGCCATATTTGTGACTTTTTTTCTTAAACTATATATTATGAGCATCTTTCTGTGACTAAGTACTCACATGTACAACATCAGTTTTAGTGACTGGGCAGCTGTGCTGAATTTATAAATAAACGCATTTTAGTGTGGTAAAACACATCTAACGTAAACTTTGCCATTTTATCCATTTTTAAGTATACATTTCAGTGGTATTAATTATATTTACAGTGCTGTACAACCATCCTAACTATTTCCCAAACTCTTTCATCACCCCAGTGGAAACTCGGTGCCCCTTAAGCGATCATTCTTCACTTTCCCCTCCCCTCAGCCCCTGGTAACCACTCATCTACTTCTCTCTCTCTGGATTTGCCTATCCTAGATGTTTTAGCCAAGTACGATCAGACAATATGTGACCTTTTATGTCTGCCTTCTTTCATTGAGCACAATGTTTTCCAGGTTTATCCATGTTACAGCATATATCATAACCACATTTCATTTTATGGCTGAGTAATATTCCCATATATGGACACATTTTGTTTATCTTACCATCTTTTGATGGACCTCTCAGGTTATTTCCACCTCTTGGCTATTGTGAATAACACTGCTATGAACATTGGTGTACATATATCTGTTCGAGTTCCTGTTTTCAATTCTTTTAGTTATTTGAGGAATCAACAAGCATTCCACAGCAATTGCAGCATTTTAAATTGCCATCATAATTTCGATATAATTTTATCCAAAAGATACATTTTCAGATATAAACCCACATCATCTTTTATAAAAATAAGGCATTTGTCTTTTCTAAAAAGGAAATAAGAGCCAAAACAAGAAATTAGTCAGACATGAATCTGGCTCTGGGGCCTGTTTCTAGGAACTGTGTCCCAGCAGTCAGGTGGGACAGTCACAGGGCTCTCTTTGTTTCCGTCTCTCAGGATCTCTGTACTTTGTTGCCTGGTTTTCTAGTGTCTTGAAAACTGTTGTTTTTGTATGTTTTATTCTAGTGTCTCAAAAACTGTTGTCTTATATATTTTATCTCTCTGTTTTTGGTTGTTTCAAATAGGAGGGTAAATCTGATCTCTACTACCATATCTTGGCTGGAAGCAGAAGTCCACAGTGTTTTTAATTAAATGGCTTATAATTTTTTGTGTGTGCCTCTCTGGTAACATAGTGCCTAAGGCACTTGACTGCTAACCAGAAGGCTGGCGGTTCAAACCTACCAGCCACTCCTCGGAAGGAAGGTTGGGCAATCTATTTCCGTAATTATACTGCCTTGGAAACCCAAGGATGGGTCACTATAAGTCGAGTCTGACTCGGCGGCACGTAGCAACAGCAACTTGTTAATAAAGGTTTGTTTTAACCCGAAGTGTGTTCTGGTGCTATTGCTTGTCTTTTCCGTTAGCAACTTGCACAGAGTTCTGCTTGTTTGATTTTGTTTTGAAGTAATCGGTCATTTAGAAGCCCACTCTGTGAGGCCCTACAGAGCAGGGGCCCTGAGATGGGTAATTCTTGAAAGCTCTCGTCATTCTCTCCTGCTGCAGACTTTGTTATCGATGGCTGTCAGGGCCTCAGCACCTCTGGAGTTTTGACCCACTGGTGTATTTCATAAATTTTAATGAAAGACAGATTGAGAGAAATCATAGATGGGCTGACATGGTTGTACCGTATCTGCACTGGCTCCAAATGAAACCCTCCATGACATGACTCTGAGTTATATTTGTGGGAAGCCCTGGACTCCGTCTTCTAGCTTGTCTGACCCTGCTAGAACTAATCAAGAGTGATTTGCAAAATCTTTTATGTTCTTGGTACATTGCTGCGATTAACTTCTAAGACCCAGAAGATTGTCCAAATATTAGCACACGTATCACAGATTTGCAAAAACTGCATATAGTTTGGTAGAGTGTGATGTGTTTTTCTCAAGAGTTTGTAAAGAATGTGGTTTCACTTGCCAATTTGTGATGCTAACCTTATTTTTTGTGTGTGATTATGAGCTTTATTTATAATTTCATAGCATCTGTTTATTTTCATTGTTAAATTACAATTCAGACAATCCTTGGCTTAGTTCAAATTTTCTTTATGTCTCATGAAATTAAAAAAAAAATTAGACTGAAACTTACTTTCAGAAGCATCTTTTAAGTAGGACTAGATATTTTTAGCAACCAGTGTAATTATCCCTGATAACAGAGATGGGAGAGAGAAAAGGAAATTGAGATCCTTGAAGAATCTCTGCATATTGCTTTCGTCCATCACTGTTGGCTTTGCCCACTACTGCCAGACCCTTGCACAGGGCATTGTGGGATAGCAGAGCTGCACATTTGGGTTCCAGCCTCTTCACTTTCTCCCTACTCACTGAGCTAATGAGCAGTGTAGTGGCCGAGACATTGCGGGAAAAATATGAGAGAAGCCAAAGGCTGAGGTTATTCAAAACTAAATAATTACCACCAGAATAATGAGAAGTTGACTGTCTTTCCCATGCTGGGTTCTAGTTTTTTGATCAAAGGGTGTCTTTTTCTTACTGTTTTGAACTGTCTTAGCCATAACAGCCTATATAATGCTTAGGTTTTGGGGTAGTGTGAAAATGAGAAAGGGGTTAGAAATAGCATATACTCTTTTTTTTTTTTTTTTTAAACTAAGCGCTCAGATGGATTCTAAAAACTTAAACCTATTAAATGCTGTTGTTACTCCTAGTTAACAAATGGAAGGGTTTTTTGTTTTGTTTTGATTTTGGGTGGTCCTTAACAGTGTGCTGTTTTTCTTTTCAGCTGCTAAGTCAGGATCGTTGCCTCAACCACCTGCACTCCCTCCGAGACCTTGTCCATCACAGGTAGGACACAGATTGGATTTTTGTAGACTGCATAGTGCCTAAGGCATTTGACTGCTAACCAGAAGGCTGGTGGTTCAAACCCACCAGCCACTCCTCAGAAGGAAGATTGGACAATCTACTTTTGTAGAGATAGCACCTCAGAAATCCAAGGAGGGGTCGCTATGAGTCAAATCAATTCGACGGCTTTGAGTTTGGTTTTTGGTTTTGGTTCCATAGTAGGGATGCTATTCTGTGAGTGTGCATCTTTGGAAGGGTTGACTGCCCCAGAACAGATAACCAAGATGATATGTGACCAAAGACAACAGAAAGTAGTTAGTTGCATTTCTCCTCAGCCAGCCAGCCTTGTGAGGGACAGTGGACAATTCCTCAATAAGCCACCAAGTCAATGCATGTGAGTTCACTGTTGGCTCTTGAAGGTTGTGTATGGTTTGAATACAGAGAGAGGAGTAGAAGAAGGGGTATTTCTCCAGTTGGGGGGGGGGGAAGGAGCATGGTTTTTCTGTATAGTATGTGTAGTCAGTGTACATATTCATCAGCATTTTCGGAGTTGTGGTAATTCTGCATGAACTGAAAATAAATGATCATCAATGTGCGGTTAGTGCTGTGGTTTTGACCCACAGTGCTTTCTCTGGGATAGTCTTCCCATTGGAACAAATGGTATGCAGTGGAATGGGAGAATGCATCACTAAAATCTGCTTTGCCTGTAAATTCATTCTGCCTCATGTACATGTGCTGCTGTGGCCTAATAAGGCCACAACATAGTCCTGTTGTCAGAAGGGACCAGTCTCTGGAGAAGGACATCATGCTTGGTAAAGTAAAAGGGTCAGTGAAAAAGGGGAAGACCTTCAAGGAGATGGATTGACACAGTGCTGCAGTGATGGGCTGAAGTATAGTAAGGATTGTGAGGATGGTGCAGGATTGGGCAGTGATTGTTCTGTTGTACGTAGGGTCGCTATGAGTCAGGACTGACTTGATGGCACCTGGCAACAACAACTATGGCCTTATTCACCCATGCTTTCTGTGAGTCAAAAATGAGACAAGCAGCAAAGCTGTGGAGGGTGGTGTATGGTGCCACAGATCTCCCTTTCCATCAATTACTGCTGATGAATTTTTGTTCTTTAAAGACCTTCCTCTGGCTCTTGGCAAGGAGCTCTGATAGTGCAGTGCCTAAGGCATTTGACTGCTAACCAGAAGGTCAGTGGTTCAAACCCACCAGGCACTCTGCAGAAGGAAGATAGGGCGATCTGCTTCCATAAAGATAAGTAGTCTCGGAAACCCAATGGAGATTGCTATGAGTCTGGATTGACTCAATGCCAGTGAGTTGTTCTGGCTCTTGGCAGAAAATGTTGGGGAATTTCTCTCCACAGTTGTGGGTTGTCCTTCATTGCTTTGAGTGGCTCAGACTTTGTTGACTTGCTGAAACCATGGTTAACACTTGTTAGTCTTTGTTTCAGAGAATTAGATGGTCTGTAGAGTCTAGTGAACCATGAGATGTAAATACCATGAGGTTCTGGCTCCTCGCTTCAGCTTCAAGGGTGAAAAAGGGCCCTGTTCTTTCTGACCCACAGATCAACAAGTGAGAACGGCCTTTTCTGGTATCCCTGTGTTGGCTTTGAAAGATACTGGCTACTTTGGAAATGGATAGTGGTGATAGTTACACAGCATTGTGAATGTAATTAATGACACTGAATGGTATACTTTAAAATGGTTAAAATGGCAAATGATCTGTTATAAATATTTTACTACAATAAAATAAAAAATATATTGGTTGATCAGTTTGGTTGACTAACAAGTGTTTATTGAGTCCCTGCTGGTAAGCTTTAGTTCCAGCCTAAGCCTTTCCTAGGATATAATTTCTGCTCATGTAAATTATTAGCTATGTTTATTGAGCATCTACAGTATACCAAAGGAGCTCTGGTGGCATAGTGCCTAAGGCATTTGACTGCTAACCAGAAGGTTGGTGGTTCAAACCCACCAGCCACTCTTCGGAAGGAAGACTGGGCAATCTACGTCTGTAGAAATACCACCTCGGAAACCCACGGAGGGGCACTATGAGTCGGATCTATTTGATGGCAGTGAGTCCCCCCCCACACACACACACACACTGTACCAGGCATTGGGCTAAGTGCTTTACATGCATTATTTAATCCTCACAACAACCCTGTGAGATAGGCACTAATGGTATGCCTTTTAATTGGACTGTACAGAGTTGAATCAAGTTGACCAAGGTGGCATAGCTAGGAGAGCCAGCTCTCCAACAGACAGCCCCTTAAAGGCCCCTTCACTCCCTCTCACCATAGTCAGTGTGTATGCACAGGACAGCCACAGAGCCATCACATGGAAATAGAGTCTTCTACGAGCTCCCGTTAAGGAGGCTCTAGATGAGATGAATGGAGTCCCTGTGGTACAAATGGTTAAGTGCTTGACTATTAGCCGAAAGGTTGGTGGTTCGAATCCATCCAGAGGCCCCTGGGAAGCCAAGCTGGCCATCTACTTCTAAAAGGTCACGGCCTTGAAAACCCTGTGGAAGAGTTGTACTCTGCACACATGGGGTTGACGTGAGTCAGAATCGACTCAATGGCAGCCAACAGTAACAGGATGAGGTATGAAAATGAGAAGGCATTCTAGGGACACTAACCGACCAGCTGCTGGTTTCAAACATGGGGCTTAGGAGGCACCAGACTGAATGCATGGAGGACCTGTCTGAAACGGCTTTTGTGACTCACGTCCTTATCTTTCTGACACTGTGCCAATTACAGTAGTCGGTTCTGGGGAGTGAAACATGCTGCTGTTATCATCGGTCCTCATCTGAGCTGCGCAAGGGGCTTCCTGCCTGCTTTGGGGCTTAGTGACAGGAAGATCTTTTCCAGGCGCTGGTGCTGAATTAATCTACTTTTTTGCCTTTCACCTTTCACAGCACGGTGTCAACAGTGAGCCCAGTGCTCAGCCGAAGCCTCCAACTCAACTGCCCAACTATGGGGAGTTCCGACTACAGGAACAGGTGTGTAAAGAATGCAGGCACAAAACCCTCTGCCATCCCTCCCCCCATTTGTCTCCTCTTTCTCCACGGTACACAGGGCACATCAATTCAACATACGACCTCCTGAGTGATATTTAGTCTTTGTGTTGGCTGTGTCAAATTCCTAATCAATTTCCTAAAGAATCTCACCTAACCCACCTGTGTGGAATACCTTTCTATTCTAGTCTTTCCCAAACTCCTTGTGAGAACAGTCTTCTGGGAGATGGCAGTGTAAGGTAATGTGCAGAAGGTTGCTGCAGTACATCCACTAAGGGCTCTGAAGGCCTGTGGCAAAGCAACCTAGCAAAGTTTGCTGGATCTGGTGACTAACTTGCATGAGTAGCCATCCACGTTTTTATTTATAAAATACCTATTAGCATCCTGAGAGCTTAGTGGTTAGGAAGCATCATTGTACACCAGCTTTAAGATATTGGTAAGAACTCTTCCGGATGTCTCTCATCCATCTTCTCATCTCTGTATCATGTGATGAAAGCAGGGCTTTAAACTGGTATGAACCAGTTCACTCACGGCCAGCAAAGGGAAATCAGAACAGACCCACATTTTTAAAATTTGACTGAAGCAGAACAGTAACCAGAATGGGAAACATTACTAGTTGAAGCCCTGGAATGGGAGACTCAGAAGAGGCGTAGTGAGCCCTTTCAGGAGCCTGATTCGGGGAGACTGAATTATTGCCAGGACTGTGGAGAGCAACACACATTTAAAGTGAGCATTCAGCTGCTGTCTTTGAGGTGGGCACCACTGGTCAGGAGATTTGGTCACTTTGCAACGAGCATGCTGCCCTTGTTTTTTCTAAGAGGCCAGTTACGTTTCTAACGGAGTTGACCCGTAACTTTCCCCGTTCCACTTATTGTTCTGGTTCACCCACATTTTACATACTTGAGTCTGCCTTGGTTTCGCTTTGTTGGCCATGACTCAGCCGATAAGAACTGATTCAAAGCCCTGGATTAAAGTTAAATTTAATATCTTATGCTAGTAGTGTCTTACAGAGTAAAAAATGAACAGAAATGTTACTGCAAGCTAGCTTGGGATCTCAATCAATCAGGTTTTCAGTGTGTTATTTCCTTCCTTGCTTTTCTATTCCTTCTGCTTACACGCTCATAAAGTCATTTTAAACTTAACTTCACAATAAATGTGATTAAAGAGAATTTAAACATGTGGAATTCCTCTTTTGCTGTATTAAACCTTTTTTGGCATGTTCTCTGGTATATATGGACATAAGAAATTGTGTGTGTATGTGTGTGTGTATGTGTACATATATATATATATATATTTATGTATCTATGTATATATATGCGTGTGTATATATATGTATGTGTGTGTGTGTATGTATATGTATATGTATATGTATATGTATGGGAGCTCTGATAGCGTAGTACCTAAGGCACTTAACTGCTAACCAGAAGGCTGGCAGTTCAAACCCACCAGCCACTCCTCGGAAGGAATATGGGGCAATCTACTTCTGTAGTAATACTACCTCGGAAACCCAAGGGAGAGGTTGCTATGAGTCGGGGCTGACTCGACGGCACATAACAACAGCAACCACATATGTGTGTGTGTGTGTAATTTTTAATGGGGTTTTAAAATGGGGTCATCACCAGGAGACCTAGGGAGAAAGAACAAAACCAGGTTTAATTACAATCGTTATGCTTATTAATTGCTCTGAGAAGAGATTGAAATAAAGCTCTGGGATTATTTTTCATTTAATTTTTTCATATTATTTAATAAATGGGCAAGACTAGATTGTAATAAACAAGAAAACATTTTGATCCCTAACAAGCAGCACTATTAAAAAACTATGTGGCCATGGATAGAGTGGGAGGAAAAATGTGGAACAAAATCCAAAAACACAATAATGACCAGAATTACTGGTTGGATGGAGTCTGGTGGGACCCCCAATACTATGCCCTGGGATACACTTCAGGCCTGGAATAAAACTCACTCCCAGGGGCTGGCTCTCAGC